GTTTACACGTGCATTTTCCAGTCGCTATATCACACGCTAATGTATTACTAGCAACGCACGAGCACGTGTTGCCACAATCATCACCAAATCTGTGTCAGCAGAGTGATAATTATATAAGCACGTGCAAATATGTCAAAAATCTTTATTTCAAGGGTCGCAGGGATAGAGAAATCAAGCGTCAAATTAACCAGGACAAATAAAAGATCTTTTTTCACTCTACTTTTTTTTAACAAATATTAGATACAAAAATAATGATAAAGTTGAACGCAGTATAAATTAGTTTCTTACATATAATAGTTTAGTTTACTTGTAGTGTAGTTATATCATTATTTATTATATGACGGTGACTCATACTTACTGCCCGGGTGAACAAGCGTCTCCGCAGGTCTCACCCCTATATCCACGTGCACAGTAACATTCGCCGGTGATATGGTCACAACCAGCGCCATTTTGACACGCACACTTTTTAGCACAATCTAACCCGTACGTGCCGAACCTACAAATCTGAAAAGAAAATTGCGAGTGATATGGGGATTTATTTTCAATTACAAGAAACCCCTTTTATAATTTAATATTATACAGATCTAATATACCGGTAATGTGTTCTTATCGTATATCACACTCATTGAGAGTATCCCCCCTTATATAACCATTGTGGCACACAACTCCTGCATGCTTCTGTAATCAGTATTGTACTAGTTACCTCCACTGGATTTTTCAGACGAATATATGCTTATCTTTTACGCTATAGCAGTTCTGTTCCCATTTCATATATAAGTAGGAAAAATATTGGACCTAGATTATTTTTTAACTACATAGAGTCGCTGGAGCAAAAACAAACAAAACATTCCAAGGCTTGTCAAACTTACTGATTCACACTTATTTCCAGTATAGCCGTTGCCACAAATACAGCGTCCAGTGAACGGGTCACATTTCTGACCGGAGCAGTCACATGATTGCAGGCAATCTTGTCCGTAACTGAAAGGTTCGCACTTTTCTGAACAGAACTCTGAAATTGAATCAAATTTTTTATTTGTTATTTATTCGTATTTGAAGTAACAAGCCGTCATAACTTTTTCAATGTTTTCACAAAGAGTATCAAGGGTATGTTATAATACAGATAAGTTTATCAAAGGTACGTCTTTAACATAGCATAGCTTTTTAAGAAGAGATGTTCCAGCGGTCTTGCTTCGAGGCTTACAGTAGCCACGAATATAACACCCATATCGGTAAGTCTAGAGAGGTTTAAATAAGCTCAATTCTTGATCACAGTGCAGTTAAGATAAAAAAAAACTCTTCAATGAAGAAACACTATCCTCAATTAATAGACTCGTACAAAAAGTTTTAATTTAAGGTATCATAACCCTGGACAGCTGTGTTTACAAATTCTTTTAAATTCCGCTCATTTCGTATTATTTATTATTTTGACAACCGTTAAGTGACAAGATTTTTAGCTCATGGTAAAATTTCCGCTTGAATTTGAAAATCACGGAAATTGTCGAAATATGCCGATTTATTACGATTTTATGGCGAATACATACGTGTTCCATAACCGGGGTAACATTGACATGTTCCATCCTCAGGATTACATGTTCCGTGGCTACATCTATTGGAACATGATTGTGAACAGTTTACACCATATGTGTTTACAGGACATGGGAAATTACATCCGGGTCCCATCCACCCTGGTTGACAGCTGAAACATACAGAAGCATTGCATTTCGTTGTTATTGTTTTCACAATGCCAAACCTGAATAAAGTACTTCCGGTCAAACTTTTTAAAATCATCATACTTTTGACTATATGCGAGCAGATATCCTAGCTCGCTATTAAAGGCGTTTGTGAGCATACACCTGACCGGGGAATTTTGCACAAGGGTTGAAATTATGTTAGGTGATTGCAGAATAAATAATCAGTATTTTGATGTTTGCAGGGTAAGTAATTTGTCTTTAGGCCTAAGAGGAAAATATCGTCTTTTAAACACAAAAAAACTTACAAAATGCAGCTTTAACGTTATCTTATCAGGGTGCAAACAGAAAACAAAGTTTGATATATGTTGAAATTTGTTCATCAAGAGGCATGTCTTGCAATTAAAAAAAAAGTTTACACAAAGCGATACTTACGCACAATTTCCTGTCATATGGTCACAAATAGCGTTGCTGGAGCAATTGCATGCATCTAAAATAGGATGTGACGTCAATATAACAGGTAAGAAAAACACTGACAAACACTTATAAATTGCTGACTAGAGATATAATTGAAGTATGGTCTGTTTCTTAGTTGTATTTTCTGAAAATATCTAGAATATAGTACTATTACAAAACTTAAATTAAATGAGTATTTAGCAAGTATCTCTTGCTATGTAGTATTTTGAACTTTTGGTTATGCAAACATTGTTTAAAACAACTCAGAATGTTAAAAAATCAATAGTTTCGAATAGATATTTTAGCATTATTTGTATACATGCAAACTTGTCGTTTATGGATTGAATTTTGAACTCACGCTTGCAGCCTTCGCCGTAGTATCCATCCGGGCACTTATCCTGACAGCTGGTTCCCTTGAAGCCCGATTTGCACACGCATACACCGTTGATCGGGTCACACATTGCAGTATTGGATTGGTTACATGTGCAATTTCTCCTGCATGCTGTACCATAGGTCCAAGATGGGCATTGCTAAATATAAAACAATAATCCTCCGCGTAATGACACAGATATGTGTACAAGTAAATATCAAAAATATTTTAGTAGGCACGTGATAGTCACTACTTAGTACATGGACCTTTTGCTCGTTGACCAAACCATGAAAGCAAACTTTGGTAAACCCCAATTCGTTTCATGTCACTAAATTAACTCATTTATGAATTGAAATTAACATTAACAAATAGTAAAGTAAGACGGAATGATGCCACAATATGATAACTGCCTTATAATTATGACCGTTATTTGGCGTTACGAATGCAATATTGTCATAATGAATTAACGTACCTGATCACAATTTGGTCCCGTTTTACCTGGACTGCACTCACACTTTACATCCCAACTTGTTACACTTGGCGGTTTCTTGATACATTGTCCCCATTTTGGCTGAACGAAAGAAATTTTATCAACGTTCACTATAGTTTTATTTCCGCTATAATGAAAGTTTTAACGCTGCAAGCTTACCAATTACGAAATAGAAAAAACGAAATCCCTAAAATACGCCAAAAATGGCAAAATGAAAATGTTGCACACTCATTTTATGTTCCCTGTTCTGTGTGTAAGTCTAGCTACCCCCAGGGCCACTGCAACATGTTTAAAAACAAAAATTCATTTTTAAAACACAAAACGAAAATTTTAGTTTAGAGATGATATAATATTTTTTACCCCCAGGCTAATTCAAATTTATAAATTAACTTTATTCTAATCAAAGGACGCTCATATACAATATTACAAAGATGTTTAAAGATTTTTGACGTGTCATATGACCCATTACCGAAGGACAAAGCAGACATTCCGATTTTTTTCTGAGTTGTATCTCGTGGTCACGGAAGAGGACAAGAAATAATCGGAACGTCCCCTCCCAAGTATTAAGGATTGTATAGCTTTAAAGCTGCATGCCTCCAGATGAGTCAAAATATTTCAATAAAATCAAACTTGAGAAATATGTACTGAGATTTTAGGAAAAGTAAAATGATTCAAGATTCAAGTAATATTTTACATGTTATGTGCGGTTAAAGACTGATTTTTCGGTATTTACAAGTATATTTCTACTGCGTTACTAACGCAATAAGGGCTATTTATGCATATTTTGACCACTTTTCGGTAATTTACGTGGGTTGTAAGTGCCATAGATAATGTGTAAATTGCTTCCTTTTGGTTATTTCACAATATTATACATTCAAATTCATTTTCAAATTTTTCATGAAATTTAGCATGAATATGGAGGCGTGCTGCTTTAAGCGCACAAACCGTTTGTACAAGATAATTTTTCTTAGTAATTTTAAATGTCTTATACATCTAAAAGATTGATGATTATAATTGCAAGTCCTATAGAATAGACAGAATATTATCTTACATTATCAGTCCCTGCATCAGCAGTAACACACCATGGTACACATTTAGAGAGAACATTATGACCCGTGGCAGGTGCTCCTGGTGGCGGACCAAACACCTGCAGCCTGTTCGTGCCACCACATGTCCACAATGGATTACCCTGACATGCTTGTCCACATTCACTGCACAGCAAGAAAAAGTAAATAAATTGATAGAGATAAATTGTTGTATTGTTTATTTTTATTTATTTTTTTATTCTTATTATTTTTTTGGTCATTGTTTTTTGTTGTTCTTTTTTGTCGATTTTTTGTTGTTGTTGTTGTTCTTGTTCTTGTTCTTGTTGTCGATGATGACGATGATGACGATAATGATGATGATGATAACGATGATGACGATGATGACGATGATGACGATGATGATGGTGGTGATTTTTTGTGAAGTTTTTAATATCAAAAGGACCAGTTAAACTGACAAATTCGCAATGGCTAGGAAAGATATATATACGATTGCAATAGAAATATCTTTTCCGAACAGACAATGGGAATAAAACTTAAACAAATGCATCTAATGTGCGAATAAAAATGTTTCTACTCAAAAGCACAGAAATCTAACGCACATGTCTTTACAAGCTAGCTTACTAGCTACAAAAGCTAAGTTTTACATTCTATCAAAAATTGTATGTTATAAACAAGTGATAAAGATGCCTCAGGCAAATACATTGTATAACTATTCATCGCCTTTGAAAATATACGTATTTATAACGTTTCATTTCGACTGAAACTAATAAAATACTCGATTATCAGGTAAAAAAATATACCGCGGTAAAGAAAAAGTTTTTTTATCAATAAAATCCCTATAATACAAATAATATTTATTTATAACTTTGAAAAAAAAATCACAAATTATTCAAATTTCTTTCCAAATTATTCGTTGTAATCAGCTGCTATATAAACCATTTGAATGAACAAATTCTTCCACCCCTGGTGAATGTATTCGTGTAATCACGTGATATAATCACGTGCTGTAGGAATGACATATTTGTGCCCCCTATTCAATATAATAGGGGCTTTTGTGATGCGTACATGGGGTCGTACGGTCACATTTCCTTGCACATCCCTGATGCGTGTTTGTGGTCGCACGGTCAGTCATTTCATATCAATTCACTCCACTTACACTTTCACAATGCATTTATTTTTTAAATACACTCACACAAACATTATTTAACCCTGATTTTCCCTGCTCAAAGAACACTCTTCCTACCAAACATTTAATACTATCAACTGGAATTGACTGTGGCACAACTTACATCATAAATACAACTCACTTCATAAACAAATCTCACACCTTGAATTCAACTCACTTCATGTACATAACTCTCACCGTGAGCACAACTCACGTCATGAACACAACTCACACCTTGAATTCAACTCACTTCATGAACAAATCTCACACCTTGAATTCAACTCACTTCATGAACATAACTCTCACCGTGAGCACAACTCACTTCATGAATACAACTCACATCGTGAGCACAACTCACTTCATGAACACTACTCACACCGTGAGTACAACGCACTTCATGAACATAACTCACATCGTGAGTACCACTCACTTCATGAACATAACTCACACTGTGAGTACAACGCACTTCATGAACATATCTCACACCGTGAGTACCACTCACTTCATGAACATAACTCACATCGTGAGTACAACTCACGTCATGAACATATCTCACACCGTGAGTACCACTCACTTCATGAACATAACTCACATCGTGAGCATAACTCACGTCATGAACACAACTCACACCGTGAGCACAACTCACTTCATGAGTACAACTCACACCGTAAACAAAACTCACAGTGAGTACAACTCAATCTATGAACAAAACTCACAAAAATAATACAACTCATACACAAAATATTATTATATAAAAATATATATTTAAATAATACCTGTCATGAACCTTTTTACTCATATCTAAGTGATTGTCACAGAAACATAGGTTGGTGCCTTCAGTTCCAGAATATTTAAAATTTCTGTCCCTGAAAATATTTTTTTTTTTTAAAGCAATGATATTACGTATTTTATGGGTTTTTTAAAAAATAATAATATAACAAAATTTCATTTGGGAAAATATAGAATAAATCCTTAACATTTCTATGTTCTTAGAAAATAGTTCGTTAATTAAGATTAAACAATACTGGGCTTTTTTTCATGTACAGTGGTCGGAGAGATAACTCAGACGCATAGATAGCCCCGACACTTGATATATATTATTGTAATAATTTTGTTTTTCAACAAAGAAGCTAATTGTCACCTAATAGTATAGGAGCAGGACAGAATGTTATGATTTTTTGCAAGTTGATAAACTTTTTAGTATATTTCAAGTAATCTTAACTGTTTCAAAACGTTCTTTTTACTAAATTACAATAAGGTAGTTAGAATTGTATTGACCACAGGTCACTGACTTGGGAAAGATTTTTGAAAAATTGTTTTCATTTCAACAAAATAATAGATAAAACATATAAGATGTAAAAATAAATTATTGATGCCGATTTCTCTTTCATTTTTATTTTAAAATTTAAGCGTCGATTTTATCTACTGTTGTGGGGTAAAAATACTCTGTTTTGTATACTTAATTCAGGACCTTAAGGAAGTACCCGTTTCAATTTTCATACATAATTTTGTAGTGTAATTTAAAGTCTTTGAACTGAACTTTGTTTAGGTGGTTCAATATTTAAAATATACAGGAAGATAATTAAAATATTGCAAAAGATATGTAATTTAGTGTCGGAGTTATCTCCCCAACCAGTACTGCATACAGTACAAGTATTTCACATTCTTCCATAAACACTAAAAGAAAACATTATATACGGATAAAATCAAGCTAGTATGTGCCATTGTTGCACGACTTTTAATAACCGCGACTTTTAATAACCGTGACTCAAGGCGCCGTCGCTTAGTCCCGCAAAAGGTAAACTTTATTTTGACATCCAAAATATTGGTTGCTGGAACAGATTTAGACACCTAGAAAGCAGTCATCTGGCTCGACGAAAGATGTGAACAAGGGGTTTGTCATAAATGAAAAAAGACAAGAAACTTAATACAATAGGTAGAATCTAGACCTGCAAAGTTGTTTACAATAGTCCGGTGTCATCTTAGAGTTCGTCACGGATGTACTAGGTATGGCAATCGCTAATGTCCGGTTTGTCGGAATATCCCGGAAACATCCTCGGAATACCTCGTTTCCGTAAACAGTGTTTCTATAGTCTATCTGCTTCTGACCCGACTGACTATGGTCCTGAAATATTTAATTCGGAATAGAGCTGGCATAGAACTGCTGATAAACTATAGAGCAAGGATGGAGATGTTTTTATTTTCTTCTATAAGAGCACAAATTGTCAGCAGAAAGTATAGATGTGATTGTACAAATTAATTGAATGAAACTGCAAGATAGAAATGGATAAATTCATGTTTTCTATATAGGGGAGGGTTTTTTTTCCTTTTTTTGTGGGGGGGGGTGTTTGCTTGTTATTTTTTATTTTCTTTTTTGTTTCTTTTTTTTTTTTCGTTATTTAAACCGCTAAACTTGTTATACAAAATTATCAGCTTAGTTGTTAGGTAATATAACAGATTTGCTTTTGACAAAAAATGGTGAAACGTCTTTGTACTAAATATATCTGCTCATTGTATGTCATATTATATTTAGGTAATAATTTACAAATCTAACGCGCAATTCTTACAACAAACTGATCCTGTAACGTTGACGTCTTTACAACACCATGGTTATCTCCCACAATTCCCTTCGTAATTAGAGAATCGATTCTGATACGACCCATGCCGCCCGGACCACCACAACAATGGCTGCCTCCTGCCCCTCCATCGCCGCCCATAGCCCATAGTTTCTGATACCCTTTAAACAATATAGATATGATTACAGAAATGATGGACGGATGTGTGTAGAAAAGTTTAAAAATGAATATATACGTTTTAATTAACAAAGATTAAGCTCAACCCCGCACATATATACAGAATTTTACTGCATAAATGTATATAATTCGCATTTATAAATAGGAATTATCATTCATTTTAGGTTACTATATTATCTTTAGAAGTTCAAGATTTTTAGCACGATATGTTGTTTATTATTCATAAATTTTATTACGTTCCTATCAGTAAGGCATAACAAAAATGATTGACTTGAAAAAATAATTGCTAGTGCATATCTGTGCACCTTAATACAATATCATTATTATGTGATATGCCTGTAAAGGCCGATGATTGAAAATAAAATTATTCTTTTCTATTCTATCGTCGTTTACAACCTAATATTATTGTTTTTATTCTAACAAAAAGTGAGTCAATATTTTACAACCCGGCGACGTTTTTTAAATTTAGTTACTAGTAATAAAGTAACACCATTGTTGCATTCGGCAGCATCTTAAGACAATGTTTTGAACAATAAAAAAATCTTGGATATTTAAAGGAGTTACAATGCAGACCCCTTACATATCTCTTGATAATGAAAATCCACACATAGGTATAACTGATATGTTATCATACTTACCAATATCAACAAGTTTTGCAGAGAGGTAAATGCTACCACCACTGCCACCACCACCAGGCCCAGACATATCCCAACAAGCAGTCGTGCTGTTACCTAGGCAACGGACTGGACTTTTCAGATCACAGGAGTCTGGACATCCCATACAACTGTAATATCAAATGTAAATATCTAATTATTCCATGTAATTATTCGCTGAATTTATTAAGTAGGTAAAATCTATGACCGGTTTAAAAATTTGCAACGCACAAAAATGTCGTTAAAATTTTCTTTTTCTTTTGGATGGTTGACATTTCGTTGTTTATTGTCATTTTATTGCCTCTACACTTTAAGGCTCAATTTGATTTTCTTTCTACAGAAATGGCAAACATCTTTTTCATAATGTTGTAAGAATCGATTTAAAACATTTAAAATTATTATCACCTGAAGAAAACAGTGTTGAATGTTGTGATATAGGGAATATAATGTAATGGCATTTTGACTTCCATACAAAATGCTTATTCACTATAAATTAACTTATTGCCGAAACGCTAAAGAGGCAAAATGTGGCTCAGCTGCAAGACAGATGAGTTTTCTTTTTCTTGAAAACTAACATGACATAAAAAATAAGAAGCTTTGAAAATAAAATTGTTTACAATATTGAGGCTTTATGGACCTTAAAGTAAAAATGTTGTTTGAATGAATGAAGCAAAGTTACTTTCGATAAATAAAACAAATTAAACAAAAGCGGTGTTTCCTTTTTAGTTAAGTTTTTGCATTTTAAAACTTAAAAGAAATAACACATCATGAGCGTACCCACTCCCAACAGGGATGTCGCCTTGTCCGTTTTCACCAGCAACTGAAATCACCCCTGTGATTTTAATAGACCGTTCCGCTATGATTTTTACTGCACCACCTCCATTTCCACCACGCCCACCTGTAATTGAAATAATGTTCACGTGTTTTAAAGAAGCTGTTTCCCTCAAAGCCAATAAATTTAACAATGAAATATAGAAATTATGACGATTAAAATTGATTTTTTTAATTACTTTATGACAAACCACTTAAACAGCAAATTGGGTTTAACAATTTTTCATTTACCTATGGGATTAGTAGTCAAATCTTTTGCATTTCCTCCACTTCCCCCACCAGACCCCATGTATAATGTGTTTAAATCTGCATCCCCATATACACGCCCGCCTGACCCAAGTCCAATCCTGTCACCGACAACTTTGATTCCATTTAATCTGCAATAGATTCGGCCATAGAGAAAGGAATTATAAAGTAAAATTAAAATAGATTGATATAGGCTCAGGTATGATCATAAAGCAACAGTCATAGCATTCGACTACACACAGAGCTTTTAAATTGATATATATATGTATCTTGTAATGAAATGCCAAAATTTGTTAATTAGGTAGATGTTTATAATAAATATTTTTAATCCTTTATTTTTTTTAAATATTGTCCAACCAATTTTTTTTTTAAATCGAAACTTCCACGTACCCAACACTTCCGTATCCACCTCCCCCACCCGAGCGTCCCGTACCGTCAGTAATTGTGTTGCCCCCGGCACCCCCGCCGCCTCCTCCATAGTTCTGTTGGTTGGATATTTTCCCGATACCGCTATATGTCTCGCCCTGTGATCCACCGACACCTGTACCATTAGAACTAGGCGCCCCTCTGTAGCCGGCACCTACTGCGTCTAAATATCCATCTATCTGAACCTCCTATTGCAAATGCCGTTAAATGTCAATTTAATTATCATGTCTACATCTTTGTGTGTATAATTTCCGGAGTAAGATGCTACGTTTTGAATATAATAACATAATTATGATTATCAACATTTAGTTGTTTCTTAAATACCCATTATGCCCTCGAAATGCTTTCATTTTTATTTCTCAAAGTCTTTTTACATTTGATATTCTTTTATAGTTTCCAACAAGTTGTTTTTTATTTGCAAATTACCTGAACTGTTTTCTTCTTCTGTAACTTTTTTTTTTGACACTTGGTACATTTATAGTGATTTAGTATTTTGTACGGAAGTCAAAATACTACTTTGTTCACATTTGCTACTTTAACGACATATAAATTTACATTAAGTGTTACTTCCTGTATGTAACAAGCATCTAACATGCTCTAAAACCATTATTTAAATGTTATAATGTATGACCTTTCTAAATAAATAAATATCTATTAATTTCTAAGGCATACTGTGCCTTTAATGCAAACAGAAGCCATATATCGATGAATTTTTAATTTAATTTAATAGTTATCATAACTGATGGTATATATCTTATATAGATCAATTTCGCGTTTATAAATGACAGGGGACAAAAATTATGTTCACTTAACGCTTTATAAACAAATAATTATTATAAGTTAAGGATAGTAGGAAATTGGCCTAAATCAGGAAATTGTTATTGACAATGCTTTTATGTATTATGTAGCCTAATTTATCTATCAGATGTCGTTGTTACGGATTCAAAATACACATTGGTTTCTTTTATTAAAAGACACAATACTGACCATTTATAAATGTGCAACATTCATGTTCATAAGTATATCCAATGAAAATCGATAACGTAACAAATGTGAACATGTACTATTATAATTATCTTGTATATACCCTAATAATATTTATCAATAACTAAGAATTCATAAAAAGGTAAGCAAAAGATATTATAATATCTTATATAAGAAGAAAAACTAACCTGTGCAATTACATCAAACATTCCTCCTGTAGATCCATTGTACCGAGACACGAGAACAGTAACACCTTTAGGAATTACAAACCGGCTAATGTTACAATGAATTCCTGAAATATCAAAGTTCGATATTAAGATAGCGATAAAATTACTTTTGTGCTCATTTTTTTTAATGTCAAGTTGACAATTCGACAATGCAATATAGCAGAAAATCAAGATATTGCAGGAATATTAATATATTATGAAACAAAAATGTCAATGTGTCTTACAATTATGAATATTATATAATATAAATTCTAAAATGACAAAATCTAACAACGTCAAAAAATGTAACAAAAATCTAACAATAAAATGAACTTATAATTTGACAATGTCATACGATATATTTTTTCTTTCATTCCATCACTAAAGTTACTCACCGCCGATAATTTCCGTGTCCTTCAGAATCCAGTCGTCACCACCGTGGTCGACAGCGTTACCACCAGAGCACGCGGGTACGGCTATATCTCCCAGCTCCCAATGACCTACTAAACCGTCATTTAATGCTTCCACCTGAATAAAATAGTGACAAATACACATTTTGTAATTATTATTTTGCATTCATATGTATTTAAATGAGCAATAATATGAATTTATAAGATTATAAAAATAAAATATTTATGTTGCAATTTCATATGCATTTACGTTTTATTTCCTTATATCATTCCCTTCTAATCCGGAAACCTTTGTAGTCCAAACTTATCTTCTGGTCTGGGTGAGCTCGGATTAGACAGGTTCCACTGTTTCTATAATTTGTTAAGAATGGATCATGCATCATTGATATTAAAGGTTTATTTTGAAGTTGATTTAAGTTGAGCCAAAATGCTGTAAGAAAATATTTCTTGAGAAACATGTTTTTTTTTCAGAAAAGATTTTAAGAAAAGTAAAAATATTCACAAGTCAAGAAACAATATACATGATGTATGCAGTAACTGATTTTGCAGTATTTATCACCATATTTCTACTGCGTGACTAACGCAGTAATGTTTATTTTTGCATATTCTTTGGTTCTTTGGTTAATGTCCTAGAAATTGAGTACCGTTTGTATGCAAATTAATGTGTAAATTACACTTATTCATTTGACAATATTTCCTTTGTAAAAGATTTTTTCCCCATCAAAATATGCATTATTAACCTTGAGGTTATTCAATTCAGTAAATAGCATATTGTAAAAATCCGACTATTTAAGCTATTTAAGTTGTAGCTTATATATTTAAAATTAAATCTCTAGAACGGCTTTCTGTTGAAAATGACATTACAACCTTTTACAATGTCCGCAAGGACCGTTGTAAACTTACTGTTGAGTTTTGTGTACCAATATTATACATTGAACGATTGATTTCGTCATTAGTTAGTTCCCTATTCCACACTTTGACATTCTGAAATCATAAAATTCTTCATCAGATAACAAATATACATACATGTATAAAAGAGATATTTGGCAAAATGATTTGTCATTCCTGAAGGCACAAATATATTTACATATTTATTTAACTATTCAGAGAAAAGAGCAAACTACATGAATAGTCTGAAAAAAAGTTTCAACCATTTCATTACCTTATTGCTTAAAGGTACACCAACATGTCTTTCTAACTAAGAATGCCATATACCGTCATGTAAAAATTGGTAACATATTCCTATTAACAATTTCAAACTAAGCCTACTGGTGGCCAGTATATTATCAAAACCATCAGTGCAGACCAACATCAGCGGGCAGAGCCGTGTCGCACGTCTGACCATTGTCTACACTGTTGGCTATTGAGTTAGTACTTATTTTGAAACTTTCCCTTGATGAATGGTATCGTCCAGATTGAAATATAGAAAGAAAAGTCCATTTTACGATAATCGGAGTGGTAAGTATTAAAACACCAACCTTTATCATCCCTCGGAAGAAGTCGGCAGGACAGCAGACGGCGGAACCAATCCAGAAACCTGCCGTTGTTGGTATATGGTTTAACAACACCTGACAAAACCATAAAAAATTGTAACTGATTATGCTAAAATGATCACCGCAATAACTTTTGGTCAAAGACTTTATTGTGTTTATTATATAATAGATGTATGATCTCACATTTGTAGTCATATAACATATAGTTATATTGAACGATATGTTTATGGTCGTGTGGTTAAGGTGTTGACCTCTCGCCGATGTAGGTTCGAGCCGCGCAACGTCCAAACTTAATCTAATACATGTATTTAGTTAAAGCAATATTTCAGTAGGAAGCTTAAAAAGCTTTTTAAAACTTTTATTTGTAAACGGAAATAAAATACTTCAAAAGTCTTTGAAAAATGCCTATAATATGTTGAATACTTCCAGACTTACTGTGTTCATTTCTTTAAACTGACCATTCAAGTAAATCTTGGCATGAGACGCATTACTGGTCACTGCAACCATGTACCACGTGCCAATTGTTGCTAACGATTTCCCTGTATTCAAATCACGGGTACATTCCTTTGACAATTTCAGGTAGCCCCGGAATGTTCCGGAGTTGAAGTTAAAACCAAAGTCATTGCAGTCTGATGCGCCGCCCACTATTGTCTGTAAATAAATGTTTAAATGTAAGTTTTTTTACAGCCGGAATATATCGTCATAATCATGACAACACTTACATGCCCATACAAGAAATAAAAGTCGCCGCTCCCAACTCAAGCTTTTGCAATACATTCAAATCAACTTCAAAAATGAACACAAAAACATCACAATACAAAGTGTGGCAATACTATCAATATGACTCAGAGAATCATTCATGTGCAAAGGGTTTCCTATTGGCTAAATTTTGAATGTACAACAGAAATTATTCCTGTACAAAGTGCTTCCAATAGAAATCAATTTTAGCAATCCTAATACAAGATGGTTTCCATAGGCAACACTTTTAATAACCGCCTTCCAAAGTATATCCAATGGGCAGGAGTTTTAATAATCGCTTTACAAGATGTTTTCCAATGGGCACCATTTTTAAAGACCTTCATACAAGGAGTTCTCATGGACAGCAATTAATATTCCCCATTCAAGGTGTTGCCCAAGGGCAACACTTTAAAGGCGTTTCCATAGGCATTATTTATAATATTCCCCAAGTAATAAGTTTTAATTGGCAATAGTTTTAATTGCCCCATACAAGGTGTTTCCATGGGCAACACTTTACAAAATCGTTCTCATAGGCAACATTATTAATATTCCTCGTACAACATGTTCCTCCTGGGAATCATTTAATTAACCCTCATACAGGTGTTTCCATTGGGCAACACTAAATATTCTTCATGCAAGGTGTTTCCCATAAGCAACACTTATAAAAATGAATTTTCATCAAAGGTGTTTCAATGAGCAACAATTTTTAATAATTTTCATACAAAGTGTTTCTATCAGCAAAAGTTACGATATAAAAAAAACAATTCCAGTGCAAAGTTTCCCCGTTGAATGGCCAATCTGATTAAAAACCAGCTACTGTACATGTAAGGAATGAGTAGGTCTGATAGTTGAAGAACCAACCAGAGGTCGGTAAATATTTTGTTATGTAAACTTGCTATATAGGTAAGATCAAATTCTAGCATAGGGAGACAAAGTGCTTCTAAGCAAAATACCGCAATGCACTGGTGCAAAAAAAATCTTTTGAAAATACAGTTGGCATTGAAATCTCTGCGTTATAAAGCTTTCAGGTGCAAGTAACTCTAGAGGTCAATTAGAAATAGTTCTACAATGAGTTATTTTCCCTAGTACAAAAAATGTAAAAAGTACATGTACCTGCCTCATGGTATCAATACGATCGGGTCTGACCCATGCAGCTACCGTATATCTAGGACCCGGACTCCACGGACCTAGGTCTATGTATGTCGGTCCATTCTTGAAAGTATCCGACAATGCAAATTCTCCTGCGCACGAAAATGGAGGTCCAACCTAACAACAGAAACTGAATATGAATTAATTATGCAAATATGATGATAAGTGTCTATTCATGTAAATTAAATAACAGAACAAAACAGAACTGAAGTTTATTAATAAGTCGTATGCGAACAGCATATTGATAACACTAGCTGACGGAAAAAATACTGTTACCAATATAAAAAGTCTTAATTTAGAATATTTAAAATGTAACTAGTGAAAAGAAACATTCACTGCTACTTTGTATGTAAAAGTTTCCATTTCCTTGCATAAAGATCAGAAATGCTATACATACCGAGTTGTCTTCGACGCACGTGTTGAATGTATAATTTCCGTAGTCGAACGGGAAAATGCACGTGTCCCCGGCTTTATCACCTCCAATGGTGTTCACAACCTCTTTATGTACGGGTACACATACTCCTATATAAACATATATGTATGACTGTAACGTAATTATACAAAACTATACGCCCATCACCATGCAATTTGTATACAACATAAAGTGTTAGGATTTTTTTGTTGTTGTTTTTGGTGGTTTTTGTTTTGTTTTGTTGTTGTTGTTTTTATTATCATTTTTTATATTGGTTTTGTTGTTGTTGTTGTTGTTATTCATTAAAATGAACAATATTTAAGCTTATGGTTCTTAGCTACTGCTTTTTTTATTAAGGAGATTTATTTATCTATGGAGTTAAAATACCGTCAAAAGTTTTATAGGTAAGCAACGGACACTCAAAATCTGATTGTCTAATGGAAGGGCAATGATTCAAGTTTACCCTACTCCTTACTAGTATTATAGAGTGGCGGAATTCAAAAACAGATGATGTAACATTTTACCCCCGGCATCACATGCTGTACGGTTGTTAATATCTTCATAATAAGAACAGTAGTCAAAGGTTTCACACTTGGAACCGTAGTAAGAAGGAGGACACTCGCACTCGCCGGTTACTTTATTACAATGTCCTCCATTCATGCAGCCACACATGTACTCTGAAAACAGAAGTGCATCTTAAGCTCTTTATCTATGGAACACCACTTGTTAAAATGTATTCTATAATATCATTTTAAGTTCGTGAAATTTGTTTTTAATTCCATCGTTTTCCTAGTCTGTTAAATAAATGTGATCATCTTTTATACATCTCAAGGCGTGCAACGTTATAGATTTATCCGAAAAAATATTTAACAAATAATATTTTAAAATAATTTTGGATGTTTTTTTTTAATTTCATATCTATCTGTGTTTCATTTAACACAACGGCATTTCACAGTGATTTACAATAAGCCTGGCAAAATTTTACAAGTATTTCTGAATGGAGCTCGAACTTACGCTTACACCTTGCTTGTACCGCGACTGTATTGTTTGAGATGCCACATATGCCTCTCTGCATCAGACTCTGACCATGCACGACACCGGCAGCGTACCTAATATATGAATATCATACCAGAAAGCATGTTTAACTACCAAAGCATTATTGTTGTCATTTTCATGACATTCTATTCACTATGTCTCCTTTACATTCTTTTAAATACATACATATTATTATTATTATTGTTATTGTTATTATTATTAGTTTGGTTTAACGTCGCGCCAACACCGAACTGTAGCGAAATCCAGCTGTACTGGCGTAAGAAGACCTCAGGTGCCCGTCTGTGCATTACTTCAAGCACCAACGAGTACCTGAGTAAAACCACCGACGTTCCATCAGCTGGCTGGCTGGATAGCTGTCTCACATGAAAGAATACAAAGTCCCAGGCGGGATTCAAACACACAGAAATGAGGGGCATGTGGTTTGAAGTCAACAACCTTAAAGATCCTGTAGGTTGTAATTAAAGTTGTTACCACACTTGAGTGACATTTTATATATGTATTTAATTATGCTTCTAAAACAATTTTTAAACATCAAATACAATGTAATATGTAAAATATGTACTACAAAAATATGTCCACATTATATGTAATCATTGAAATATGTGCATTCATTTCTTATTGAAAAAATTGACTTAGACTTTATAGAAAATAAATTTTTAATTACCTCCCTTTATTAACATGAAATGTAAATTCGGTAATGTCTTTACAAATAATGCTTTTTGGAATTTTCAATATTGATAAATCTTTATTTGAGCATCATATTTATGATAAAAAAAACCCATAAAAAAATGAGTTACAGGATCTCCAACCACTCAGCCTTGGACGCCCGTAAATAATCATTATACAATCAATAATATAACAATAAAGCAGATAAAGTTATAATAAAAAAATGTCGGTTTTTTTCTATACAAATATAATATCGCAAACATTCGAAGCAGCTCAAAGACTTTAGCTTGTTATAAAATATTATGTTTATGCTTTATCAATGTGATCTACTAAAAAATAATAAAAAATAAATTACGTTGTCCAGTAACTACAACCTACGGCCACTGCCCCAGCTGGACATTGTACCGTCCCCAAACCGTTAACGTTGAATAAAATCACGTGACCAGGATCCCCGGGACGGCATATCACTTGTGACTACAACAACAAAAATTAGGAACTGAGTTAGTTTTGTCTTCGACATGTTTTCAATTGTAAAATCAGAAATTACTAATAATATGGTCAGGAAAACAAATTAATGATACCTAATCCATTATGGGTGCGCACCCCACACCCTCCCCGAAACACACGAAAGTCCTCGAATACATATAGAAATAAAGTATCATACAATGAAATAACATTCAATTATTTAAGTAAGAAGCGCTGTAATATTTCTTATTGTTCTGACCGTAACTTGACATGAAACTGCATAATTTTAGCATCTATAAATACGTATTAATTACTAGAGATATCTTTATACAATATCAAAATAGGAATCGAACAAACTTTTCCTGAGTTGAGAGGCGGACATCTTGTAGTTATTAGACAATCGGTTTCATTCCAACCCCCATATTCAACCCAACAGGCATTCAGCTCAAATCAGATACAACGGTAATACTTACATGTCCCGTAGATGTTACACACGTATCCCCCTCGAACTTGGCACCGTTACATTTTGACTCAAAACACAGGCAAGTTTCGGCTTGGTAGCCTGCTGGACATGTTCGACCGTCGTCAATTATCTCGGCTGAAAATTATTTAATTTTGCATTAAAAAGATTGTTTAAAAAGTAACACTGTACATTATTTTTTTTATACAGACACACAGTGTATAAACCAGTCTACCTATGGTTTTTGCAAGAAAGTTTTAAGTTAAAAAAGAAAAGGTCATTTTAATCAGAAGACAAGATACACAATTAATTGCTTAGGCAATTGACAAGTCCGTAACAATTTTAACATAGTTATGGTTAAAAAAGTTTTTAATATTACTTAGAATGACAGATTTACAGAATTATAAAAATGAATGATTCCTTAGAACTTCAGGTTTATTTGTATATACAGTAAACTCAGCTTATAACGATATTCAAGGGACCGCCAAATTTATATCATTCGTTATATCCGGATATCGTTATAAACGAGAGGCAACCAATTTGAAACAAGAGTCGGGACGGCGGCAACAGCATTGTTATAAGCGGTATTTCGTTATAAGCGATATTGTTATACGTGGAGTTTACTGTAGTAACAATCAATAAAAGAAACTCCTACATTTCACAATTTCGCAATTTGTGCCTGAGTATCCTTGGTAACAAATACATTTAAATGCGTCCGCATCCACAGCTAGACACCGACCTTCGTTCTGGCAAGGGTTACTGAAATAAAATACCGGTATATTTCCAATTTTTATATCATTTTTATTCTAGAAATATACAATTATAAATCATTAAAAATGCTAAAGAAATAAAGCTGTTTGAAAAACACCGTATGACCTTAACAAAGCCGATACGTCTGAAGTTCCCAACAAAACCCAAAACAAAATAACCTAAAAACAAAACGCCTATTGATATTCCATTTAAAGTTTTTAAATATGAATGAATTTCCAAATAAGAGTGTTTTATAGCTGACCCCTGACCTTTTAACGCATATATGTTGGTTGTGCATCAGATCTAGGTGTAAATTTTCTTCTTTGAAATCATAAGTTGTCGCCGGATAACACTGCCCCGGAAATCCACCACAATGTCCTGTTATACGCTGTGGAATAGCTGAAAAATGTAAGCAGTCTATATAACAACATTTTGTCACTTTAACATAGGCACCATAGATCATTTCATCGTAGTCAAAATATTAATAGAGTCCTAGGTTCGAATCGTGAGCGCAAAATATGATCTGAAATGCTCTATTTTTGCATACGGCGATTGCATTATAAGCACGAGATTTTCATGGAATTATTATATTCATTATTAGCGAGCAGAAATATTTATTGACGACAATTGAAATATATGCACGGGATGTTCGTGCATTTTCATACTTATACGAATGGTTAATCCTTAGCGAGCAGAAATATTTAACTACATGCACGAGATTTTCGTGCATCTCTAAAACTCTTACTAAGCGATTATGAATATATGCTAACGACAAGTTTATAATATGCACGGAATTTCGTGCACTTAAAAAATGGTATACATCAATTAAATTATAACGTTATTGAAATAACATTCACTATATATACTTCTAAAATATGGAATATATTTTACTTCAAAGAGACAGTTTTGACTTCTCTGTGAGAATATATTCCATACCTCACTCAAAACGAACAAATATCAATTTTTATATATCAAACACGTATACCAAACAACATTATGTATTGAATATCTTAAAACAACTTACGCGCACTGAAAGTTGTATTTAACAATGCTTTTATTGCGTTTATACCACGCGTTTTATGATAATGATGGAGGTAGTACATTTCATAATGGAAAAAAATTATACCTTGACATTTTAATTACAGAAAAAAACTTGTTATAACAAATTAAAAACACCTTTATAAATGGTGAACCTTTTTAGTAAAACATATTTGCCTTTGTTTTCTAAATAAGATTGACACTCTGTTTACCTGGTGTGTGTTAGGTTTGCAAGGATTTTAGTTTAACAAAGAGTTATTTTTTCAGTTGTAACCTTTAAAGAAAGTTGGGGTTTTCATATCTAAAATTGGCAAGAGTTTGGTTAGAATGGATTTTCTAGTAAAAAAAGAAAAAAAATCGGAGTTATAATCGAGATAGTTACACACAAACGTAGAAAGTAGAAATTTAGAAAAACAATGTAACTCGTGCAATTTCCCCATTCCGGGTCTTTTATTTTTCCTTTTCTTTTTATTCAATCTATGTGCTTTTTTCGTATATCTGCCGCCTATTATTTACTAGGCATGAAATATCAATGTTGCTTTTACTTTAAACCTCGATATTTTCTTTAATGAATTACATAATGACATTTAATTGCAGTCGCGAAAATATGTGATATTTCACCTGTAGCGTAAATGCCCGCAAACCACGTGCCTCCGCAGATCTGTTGTGGATTCCCGCTGCACTTTTTGTTACAGTTGTTTTCCGATACAGGACGTGTACCGTAACGTCCGTAGTCGTTACCACAGTGGCATTCCACACCGTACTTGAAATGTATTCATTTAAATAAATGATGAATAGAAATAACAATAATTAGTATTCAGAACGTATATTTTATTTATCAAATTAATAAAAATAAAATTGTGGTTTTTCCTTTTTTATTCTCCGTTCGTAAGTAAAGTACTTAAATGTCGTGGTATCACGCCTCGAACAATATGTTATCACAAATAACATTTAAATATAATTAAATATAATAAATAGTAAAACAAATCTAATAGAGATGTGACAATGAATATAGTTCAAACGTTTATTTCCTTCAAACTGTTTTATAAAATCGATAACAAATAATTGATGTTTTAGAAATAAACTAGTAGTATTTGAGCTTTTGTATATTATCTTTCTTTAAAAAACTAGGGTATTTTATACAATGAAAAGTAATAATATTAGTTATATCACAATCGCTATAGAATAGCAACCTTTCTGCGTTCCCGGTGCGACTTAGCATGCAGTTGAAACGCCATGGACGCCGAAGTTTGGAACGACTCAGGGTGTCTTGGTGACCCCATCATTGACTCAGGACGCCATGCCATGGCAACTATTTTGAACATGCACAAGACATACGCTGTGAGTCGGCGGTCGCAATGCGTCCTGGACTAGAATGCCTTCAGGACCCCGTAGTCCATGTACTATGAATGTACTTAAAACGTTGTCGCCGTATAAAGGCATATAAATTGTTTTACATGAAACTATAGACTATACCGAGGCCCCATGGCGTTTGAAGGGGTTCCTAGAAAGACTTCGACGGCGTTATTCGAAAAAAAATACCCGCATAAGCCTCTGTAAGAACGCCATGTCATTGTGACGGGGGTATTATGCACAAAGTTATGGTATATATTTTCGACAAATATGATATAAGAACAATATTCATACCTCGACCCCGGCATAAGCATATTTCAGGTTTTTACAATGTTGTATACAGTTTTGTATTGTCCGATTATTGGCACTATCCTGGCGTCCAGCTGGTAATAAACGGTCCCGTTTGTCTGCGAAACATCCAATATATGCTGGAAGAAACAAAAACCAAAACATATTGTAAAAATATCATTTAGAAGATTACTATTCAGAAATAATACACTTTTTGTGTCTAATTTTCTCAGAATATTTTGGAACTTGGCAAAATGAGTTTGGTCAGGTTTTGACTTGTTAAATGTAGTCTCGTTTTACATGATCTTTATTCAAAGCATTTTCAAGGAAAGTACATATCATGGGAGAGCTTTATTATTTATCTACACTGCACACACGTGTAGGTTTATAAACGTCAAATTATAACATTTCTAAAAATGCTATGAATCGTCATTCAGCCGGATACTAGATATTCGATTTCTTTTTCGTGAAATAGACTTTCGAAAGAGGTTTCTGTCAGGAATTATCAAGAACTGTCTGTCCGACGAGGTTCGCATTTCATTAATTCAACAAACACGTGCTGGGGTGTGTTTTAAAAAGTGTTCATATGTTTTAGTGAAGAAACTGTGATTCTTCAATTTTCACTCAGGTTTCTGCAACTTTTAGCACAATACCAATAACTAAAGTTATATAGACCAACAATGATTGTTTATGTGGGCGTATCCTCCAGTAAGATTTCCACGCACGTGTCGCCCCGCCCACTGCCATTGAGAACTAGCAACCACTGTAAACGGTGTTCCGGTCAGATCAATCTGGAAAGCTCCCATCGGGAAACAAGTGTCTGAACTTGTCCAGTTATCTCCCGCTGATCCGAACCTAAAACAAACCGGAAATAAGATCTATATATATTAGAACCCGATTTCAAAAAATGTTTCAATGCTTATAAACATGCAACTCTAAATACATTACTTGTGGAGGCAGGCGATATACTAATACAGTTCACGAAAGTCGACTTTGGTTTAATTTTTTATTTTTTTTTTATTTATAAACAAAACTCAGGGCCCTTAAGGGCATAAGAGTGAACAATCAACAAAACAAAAAATAATAATACAAACATGGCATGAAGTTAATAAGTAAATAAGTAAATAAGGAAGATGACTTATTGAAATTTCAGCATTATAGCTTTGACAAAAATGGCTAGATTAAATAAAGTATTTCTGTTGTCGCTACACATAAGAGCCTGAAAATTTAAAATACTAGAAAACCTTGAATAATAGTTACTGATATACCTGTGTCTTTCATGATTAAAATAAGTACATTTAAAAATATAATGAAATTCATCACCTATTTCTTGCTGATTAACATATTTATTAAAGCTTGATTGCGAAACAAGTTCTTGCAACTTATACGAGTATTAATGACTTTCGAGTCCGCTTCTTGGAAGCAGTCGACTTTGATTATTTAACCCGAAAATGATGTTTAATGGAAGAGTTCATTGTCATAAGAATTGTTTAAAAACCAACAAGGAGGTTAATTAAAAGATAACCGTTGAACTTAAGTACACAAGACAGATTCCTATGTTGCTTTTATTTCGCGTGGGTGTTATCCATTTGTTTTTGCTTGTCGTTAACATTTTACTTAGTTTTATTTTGACAGCAATTTCCTTTGCTATATACGAGACGGAGGAAGAAAAAACGATAACTCCAGTATGCGTGTTACATATGCAATTTGTTATAAGTTAATTCTATTTTTTTCATAATTTATGGGTGTTCTTTCTTTCGTAAATGTTTGTTTTTTCTGCTTTTCTTTAGTTGCATTGAATCTCGGTTTAAGGTCATATGCCGAGATTGTAGTGTTACATTGGTAGACAGATGTATTGTGTGATGACACACTTCGGTATGACAGCACACAAGACTCGAGCTTCAAATACTTCAATTATTTTAGTACTTGAGTTTTAACGCTGTACGCGTCCAGATGAGCCAAAATGTTTCAAGAAATTTAATTGTTAGAAAAATGTATTAAAATCTTAAGAAAAGTAAAAAAGAGTCAATATCTAATTAATTATTTACATGTTATGTGCGATCAATGACTTATTTCGCAGTATCAATCACTATAATTCTACTGCGTTACTAACGCAGTAAGAGGTACTTATGTATAAATGTATTTTGACCCCTTTTTGGTAATTGACGTGAATTGTAAGTTCCGTTTGCAATGTGTAAATTACTGTCTTCGTTCACTCTACAGTATATTTCTTTTAAAAAAACATTTTCAAAATTTTCATGAAAATTAGCAAGAGTCTGGAGGCATGCTGCTTTAAAAACGTTTTTGTGATGGAAAATCCAAGTACTAATAATAGAATTGACTTCTTGATAGTAGTGTTATTGCATACTTCGTATGTATGAATGTATGTACGTACGTACGCACGTATTAAAGCAGCATGCTTCCAGATTAATGCAAATTTTCATGATTTGTTTTAAATGTAATAAAAAGTTAAGTATTGAAAAATGAACAAAGAAAGAAATTTATACATTGCAAACGGCACTTAAAATCTACGAAAATGATCAAAAATTTGTCAGCATATGCAAAAATAACCCTTACTGCGTTTGTCACACATAAGAAATATGGTCTTAAATAAAATCAGTCATTAATTGCATATAACATGTAAATTATTTCATGAATTGTGAATATTTTCACTATTCTTAAAATCTTAGTACATTTTTTTTTCGAGGTTGATTATCTTGAAATAATTCGTCTCATTTGGAGACATGCATGCTTAAAATGTAAAATTGTTATATTTTTATTGTATTTTTTCTTGGGATATAATTACTTATTAGATGAAAGAATAAAGCGTGTTACCTTATTTTATTTACACCTGAATGGTTGGCAAACGTAAAATCCCCGGGCTGTACATCTAAACCAATCGTACTAACAGCTATCTTAGAAAACTCCGTCCTCCCTCCGGCTGAATATAGTTTCCTAGGAAATGCGTCGGCACAATAATTTGGAACACCTTGAAAAACAAATTGGCAAAATCAAGATTTCCTTCGTAACATTATGCTTAAAGGCCCATATAATCTCAAATGGTAATATTTTCATTTTTTCAAAAACTATTTATTTTTTATTTCCTGTTAACATAACTCATTTGCCATGTAGCGGGACATTACTTTGCTTCCTTCGTGTTTGCCGATAAAAAGAGTTAAAGTGATATGGAATTTTGTATGGAAGTCAATATACCACTTTGTTTACATTTTGCAACCTTCATCAAAAAGTATTTCATATTCATTGCTATTTACTTCAGGTGATAAGCATCACGTTCTAATTCAATAATTATAGCACTACACATGTTTGCCTTTTCAACAGAAAAACTTTTTTTCTGAAGCATAATGTGCCTTTAAGTACAATCAGACGAATTTCTACTGTATTTTTAATGTGTTTATTCAGTCACAGATACAGAAATGCATTACGGCATACTTGATGAGGTAACATCTGTAAATATCTGATTCCTCCGACTTACAGATTATTGTGTAAAATGAGGGCACTATCTATTTTTTATTTTCATGTAAAATATAGGCAATATAAATAAACTTTCATGTAAAATACAGACAATGTTTACATTGCCTTGTAAAATAAAGACATTGTTTATATTTTCATGTAAAATATAGCCACTGTTTACACTTTCATGTAAAATATAAAAAAAACTGTTTATAATTTCATGTAAAAAACACCGTTTATTATGTCATGTAAATAATAAAGATATAGACACTGTTCATATTTTCATGTAAAATAAAAGCATTGTTTATATTTTCATGTAAAATAAAGACGCTGTTTATAATTTCATGTAAAACAAGGATACTATTTATATTTTCATGTAAAATGCAAAATGTAAGTTACATTAAAAATATATTGATAGAAAACTAAACTAATTATACCTACCGACATTTTCATAGAATGAAGCAAAATTTGAACTGCGTCCTGATTTAAGAGTTATGTAGGATTCTGGACCAAGATCCGACGACTGCAGATCTAAAAATAGTAACAAGTCAATCAACTTTTGAATTAATTTGATTAAGTGACAGCATATTCAGATGTGCTAGTGAACATAAATTAAAAAGTGTTCTAAACAAAAAAACAACATTATTTTTTTTCAAAACATGGAATTTATATTATCCGCTGTATAGATCTATGGAACGCCAAAACTGCATTCTGTTCGCCTAAGGAATGACTGATCACAGGCAAAAGTATCGGACCTGGGAAGAAAAAATATGACCAGATTGATAAAAAAAAACCTGTGTTCATCTTAAAAGTGTCAAAAAACAAAGACAAACAAAATGTATATAATGACCCCTTTAAAAATTATTACTATAAGTTAAGAGAAGGCCGGAAACTCCAGATTCGGCCTACGAGCAAGGGATTCATTTCCCGGGCCGTTTTTGAAAAACAATTGGCCAGGGACAATTAAAAAAAATTTTTATCACTATTTCACGTTTATATAAAGCTTCAAAATGAGACCACCCCAAGTTCTCTAGCCCTTCCCGTTCATGGAAATATTTATCAGGAAACGAGCGACTTCGTGCTAAAAATCCTTGGTAGACATAATTGCGGCACAAACAATTCGAGTACGTAACATAGACTAATACATGTATGTCAGCTGACTACGGCGTCAAAATTACTTGAATTTACTAAAAATATTACTAAAATACATTAAGTTGGACCACTCACAACCGTCAGTAGATTTCTAATACACACGAGATTCGAGTTTCAAGACATTTACACGGTCTTTCAATCGCTTTCTACGCCATTAGGGCATCTTGTGTGAAACGTTGCGGTTTTCGTTGCTATTGGCCAATCAGAAGACTCGTTACAAAATATCGAACAGCTGATTGACAATGGCGTAGAAAGTAATCTAAAAGACCGTGGAAAGGTTTGAAATTCGAATTTTGCGTGTATCAGATGCTACTGACGGTTGTGAGTGGTCCAACTTAATGTATTTTAGTAATATTATTTTGTAAATTCAAGTAATTTTTGACCCGTAGTCAGCTTGACATTACATGTATTAGTCTATGTTTACGTACCGAATTGTTGTGCCGCAATTATGTCTACCAAGGATTTTTAGCACGAAGTCGCTCGTTTTCTGATAGATATTTCATGAACGGGAAGGGCTAGAGACTTGGGGTTGGTCTCATTTTGAAGCTTTATATAAACGTGAAATAGTGATAAAAAGATTTTTTAATTGTCTGGCCAATTGTTTTCACAACGGCCCGGGAAATGAATCCCTTGCTCGTAGGCTCGAATCTGGAGTTTCCGGCCTTCTCTTAACTTATAGTATATTTTAAAGGGGGTCATTATTTACATTTTTTTTGTTTGTCTTTTGACACTTTTAAGATGAACACAGGTTTTTTTTATCAATCTGGTCATATTTTTTCTTCCCAGGTCCGATACTTTTGCCTGTGTGACTGATATGTTTGGTTGAGCCAAACTGGTAATATATTAAGTCAGATAAGCGTTTAATTGACATTATGTTGGTTCAAGTCTGCATATAGTCTAGTATTTATTATGACAGATGCAAGATGACACCTAGTTTATTCAAGGTATTTGATGGGTCAAACTGGCATAAATGTGGAGTAAAATTGCATAGCATAAAGTATGGTCAGTTTCAATAACATTATGTGAAGGCAAGTCAGGAATAAGTTTAGTCCAGGATTAATCATGTCAAGATGACATCTAGTTGAGTCAATGCAGCAGTTTGTTAGTGCCAAGTTGTTACCGGACATATCCTAATGCACGTTCGACCAAATATAATGTCAGCTTTATTCAACCTTATTACGGATAACCAAACAAATAAAAGGCAGTTTTGGCGTTCCATAGTGCAATCAGAAATATAAAAGAACCGTTTGCACCATGTTAATTCATGACTGGATCAAGTCCTAACAATTTAACCACATTTCCTTCTTCCGAGGCCAAACAAATTCCATATCAATTTTTTAAGGGTGGGATGTAGAGGAGTCGGTCGGAGGTTATATGGTATATTTTTAGGAATAACCAGCGAGTTTGATTATTTTTTATTGATCTGTAATATTACAATACATACTTACCGTCAAATTATCACCTGCGATCTATATATACTTACTGTGACAATAAACCGTTATTCCGACATATTTCAACCACGGTAAGAAAATAATATATTCTCCATCAACCGCCTTGCTTCCTAAGTCTTTCTTAACATCCAGACATGTATGATAGTCTTTGAAGCCATGTGCTTCATGTATATAATAACTGATCAATATAAATATATACAAGTATAGATGCACAGTGATTTCCGAGCGTTTCTTTCCATTTTGAACACAATAAATTCCACAAAACCCCATGTTTACATCATCTAGAATAACGACGGCTAAATGTTTTCAACTGCCTGTCACGTTGAACGCTTCTATTTTTTTGTTTTTCTCTGAATCCGTTTTTACGTTAACGTAACGTCAACGTAAAATATCGTTCAACGTTAACCTGTTGTTTGTTATACGTTTAAATTTCAAACAAAAATCATTTCACCGCTTAAAAATAATACATACAAAACCAACCGTCGATGATAAAATTCTTAAAAACACCCTGTTATAAAAATAAAAGTTTATTATAAATGGTACTCGACAATTATAGCACCCGATTAATCTGTATACCAAGCGTTTTGCATAATATGATGGATTGGAGAAAATTTTAATCTAAATTTGATAAACGCTGATACAGACGACAATGATGTTGTATGAAATATACACCGTATCTAACCGTTACCGGTGCGATAAGCGACTTATTATCTATAGATAGTAAATATAATTTTAAACTATATTTTGACCTATTCAAAGGAAATATGATTATACTCATTATAATTGTTTTAATCACTAAGACACAGCAAGAGTATTATAATTGAAAGGTCACATTTTGTTGTAGTTGTGGTTGGGTTTAAAAATTACGTCGCACCAACGAAGTTTATGGCGATTTTCTAACTTGACTGGCTGGGGGAGACCTGGGCGCCCTCCCGTGCATCATTTTAGGCATCCGTCACAACTGCCGTAACGTTTTCACCTATACCGATATCATATAATGACAGGCCCATTAAGCCTAACAAAGGAAAATATTTTTATCTTTTCAAAAGCTCTTAATTTCTTCATGGCCTGATACAGTTTTAAAAAAGTTATTAAGTGGTCATATATCTGAGTCATCTTTTGCTTCCTTTGTTTATGTGTAATTAATTTTTTTGGAGGGGGTGTTGTTTTTTGTTGTTGTTGTTGTTGCTGCTGTTGTTGTTGTTATTGTTGAGCTGTTTATTTCATTTTTTTTTTTTTTGGTGGGGGGGGGGCTATTGGGGAGAGGGTTTGTTTGCTTTTTGCGGGGAGCCTTAATAACAAAACCAGTAATTAAAAAAAGAATTACGAATGAAACTGACAAAATGTTTATGTAACATCTGATTTGTTTTCGCTCCACACAGGTTACAAAGTACAATAAGTTGTTTATTTCAACGTTTGAAATTGAAAACTTAAATAGTAAAGACAGGGTTTGCTAGAATATGTCGATACTTAACGGTGCTCAAAATAAATATACTGAACTATTTTTTTACGTAAAATCATATCATCTTCTTTTCGTTCATTTTACGGTCGCTTGTGTGCAAAGTCAAAGAAATCTTATAATTAAATATCTCTCATTCGCTTCGTCTGAACGATTTATGCACCAATTGGATTCTGGCTTGTTCTTTTCTGAAGAAATTTTCAATTTGAACATATTTTGTCACCAAACAAATTCATGCCGCGGCAAAGCTATACAATAGAGTGGCAATTGTCTGTGGTAATTGTGCTCATGAAGAAAATTTGTAGTTCTTGATTTAGCTCTCGTATTAAAAGACAAACCGTTAGAAGACATATTTTCACCAAAAATTGTTTTTTATGAAACGTTTTCTGAAAAGTTTTGTAATGTTCTTTCCCGTTAAAAACAAATGGAAATGGGAGACAACCAAAGCGAATTTTGAATTTCAAAGTTTAGATTGACTTGTCTCCCTTTTCAAGATATACAAAATGTACATGTATAAGGGATTTTTTGTATTTATTATAGGTGTCGCAAGAAAAATGATTTTAAAATATGAAAAAAATGTTGTTTCTTTATTTATTACAGACCCTTTAACCTAAAAGTAAGGAGGAAATAAAACTTTAATATTTAAGAGTGCATGCTACTTAAATTCAATCACCTAGCCTCTTTACTTCGTGTGCAAGTTTTAGCTCCTACCTGCTAAATTTGTGTAATGGATTTGCCCTGCTTTGAATTTGAAATAGTCCGGATTTTAAAGAAAACGGAAGTTCAGGTAGGGCAGGTTCTATGCAGGTAAAAGGTTTAATTACCTTCGGTTCTAGCCGGTTAAGCACATTTTCTAGGTAAAGAAATAGCAAAATTTCTGGCAATTCAAATCTGCCGGAGTTCTTACTGAATATTCCATACTACCAAATATTGCTATTTATTTTTCTCAGTCATGATGTAGTCAAAACGTGTTTTAATAATTAGACTTCAGAACAACATAAGAACATTTTTCTTGTTTTAAAATGTTTTCTTAAGTAACAGTAGTAACAAGAAATTAAACTTCGAAGAGACTTATTTCCGGCCAGGTACTAGAGACACGGAGCAATCACAAGCGGAGCCTCCCATCTGTATAGAGCAAAGATAATCACACATTGACAGTGTTGGTTTCACTGTAGTTTCGTGGCTCTGGTGGTGTCCTGAAACAAAAAAAAAGAAATAATGTATTAAACCCGCCTTTTAAAAAAATAAATCTGCAAAATTTAAAATGTGACCGTTATATGTGTGTTGGCCCCTACATATTGTATTTCTATAATGACATCGACTTGGACGATGTACACGGATTATCATGAAAAACTTTGATACTGTATCGTGAAAGTCATGATTACGGCGAGAATGGAACTATCACTTTATTTCTTTTATTTCATCACATAAGATTAATCATAAATACCAAAATGCCGGATAATTGTATCGTAGATACCTTAATGACGTTATTTCTTTAAAAAGTATCGATGATATTTTAAAGAGGCATTAATATCTTAAATATCCCAATGACAAGGACTCTAAGTCGGATTTATCATAATGGTGGAAATGTCACCGATATCGTATCGTGTAATGTCAGATGACATTGATATCGCACAATATTATAATTAAATGGCACTGATTCCATTTCGAAAATACTGTCATGCCTCTATGACATTGATCTATTATCATAGCAACGATAACGGCAATACTGTTTTATCAAAACTACGAAACAGCATAACAGTTTTTTACTGTTACATCATAACTTAGTTTACCAAAATGACACTACTGTTATATCACAACTACCATAATAGCAGGACACTTATATCAAAACTACCAAAACGGCAGAACTGTTGTATCTTTACTAAAATGACATTGATATTATATCGTTACTACCATAATGCCATTACTATGATACCATAACTACCAAAATGGCATTTATGTTATATATCGTAAGTACATAGCATTGCTATAATACCATAACTACCATAATGGCATAGGTTTTTTATCATAACTACCATAATGGCATACCTAATACTAGTATATCAAAACTACAAAAATGGCATAATTGTTACATCATAACTACCATAATGACATTATTGTTATATCACTATAATATCGTGTTATTATACACGTTTTGTTATTCTAGGTGGCCTTAACAGGATTCCTTACGAACATATTATGACTATCGAGTACATTAGCTTAAGATACAAAGGATCACAAACCTCCATGTGGGCATGCGCAAAGGGCAATTGTATTGTTATCATACTGATGTTTATGATGACACACGTGTGTACAGTCAATATTGGTCACAAAGATAAAGGATCGAGCCCCGATCCAACTCTGCGCAACTAATACGGTAAACAGTATCCATTGCCAAGCCATTATTCTCTGTTTGTTTTTTTTTCAATATCTATTAAAGAAATAAATGCATACCTTTTTGTTATATACATAATATATCAACCTTTAAAATGGTCTGCTAGGTATATGCGGTTCCATTTGTTCTGATAAAAATAAATATATTGCAACACTTGCCATGGATTCTTATATGGCATTCACAAAGCACCCGATGAAGTTCTTCATAACTGCTAGGGTCGGCGCACACAGCGACACAGTTGATAAGAAATGAATCCGCATGATGAACTGTGATTCCGACGTTAAATACGAGCACGATTAAAGTTAAATAGTAAAATAACATTATGACAGAATGAGTTAAAGAATTAAGTTAACATATTGAATTACAAACGAGTATTTGTATTTCAAGAAGTAAGTGCAAAACAAATGTAAGTATATATAGATAAAGTAAAAGATAAACTAGTTTGCACCATACTTTGCCATTTTAGTTTTCTAATGTTATCTTATGAATTGAGTTCACGTATGTAGCGCTAAATTTAAGCCCAATTTGTCCTTTAAGAAAGATAAATGGCCCAGAGTTTAAACAAAATGTTTTTGTGATAAATATAGCAAAGACAGTACGAAACTACTTCTTCTTCCTGAATGTATTGGAAAAAAGATGTTTAGATATTTGAATTGTTTAATCTTTAAAGCAGTCTCCATGCAGAAATATGCTATATTTCATGAACATTTTAATGTAAATGTATTTAAAAGTAAAATATAATGAAGTGAACTATTAAAGTAGTTTACACGTTGCAAACGGCACTTACATTTCACGTAAAATGTTAAATTACTAAAGAGAGGTCAAAATATGCATACATACATGAACAATCTTGATGAATGTAAAAAAATAAAATACTATCACCTGGTAGTAAACATTCCCTTGCCGACCTTTCTTTTCATTGACATAATCGTGTGAAAACAGGAGGTAATTATATAGTTACATTTGGTGTGTTGACTAAAATGGAAAAGCTGATTAGCTAAAACACGACAAGACGAAGCCGAATACACTATAAGTTGTCCATTATCAACTCGTATTACTTTCTGTATATATATACACTAATGCACCAGTCATAGACGTATAAATTTGTTACTTTCTGCCATACAAGTCATTTTAGTGCAGCTTTGACAGCACTCCGACCCCTTTAGTTTCACAAAATACTCAAACCCTGAATATGCTAATCAATACATTACAATACATTACAATACAATACAATACAATACATACGTAAAATACAATACGGTTAATGTGTTTTAAACAATATACAACGTTTCTAGTATAACCAGATGGTTAAATTTCCGTCACAATTCCCGTTTTGCGTGTAACTGCAAAAATCAAACGACTGCATGCAGTTACGCTGTTCTGTTGGAGGATTAAACCCTTGCCTCCAGGTTAGTGGATCGTGGTTTCGTATCACTGGTATATAAAAAGTTGAGTTGACGCATTTTATTGCCCCTTCTCTGTGGCTTAATAAGCAGTGAACTTAAATTGTTGATAAACAATACGAAGCCTTTGTAAGAATCAAAAGGTCGACAGGTGACGAAGTTATATCTCTCACACATGGCATCATATTAGTGTGTTACCATGGAAATAAGTCAAAACTTTGTATTATCTTAGAATATGAAAACAGTAGACAGCTATATAAAATCAGAAAAAGTACTTGGCCTTGTTAACATTGAATTTGAATTATTTGCCCGCGAAATATAAAGCAAACTTTCCAAATTCAAGTACACATAACTACAAAAAAGGGAGATAGGTAACCCTACAAAAAGGGAGATAGGTAACCCTCATTGTTTCTGTTAAAATATTCTCAATCATGGCAAGTTTAAATTAATTCTATCATACATTTTTGTTCACTATGCCTATACTGTATGTCTTTAACTATATTGTGCGCCTTTACAGTAGTTCCGGGTCTTAACATTATCGTGTTGGTAGTTTTACCCTACGTATTATAGCAGTAAAATAACAAGAAAAAAGATCAACAAGGCAAAGGCAACGTTCACAGGACGCCGCCCCTGGACACACCCAAGCAGGACACCCAGAAGGCACCAAACAAGTACCTGGAGTGGACACAAGGTCGAAAGGGGCGGGACATGTAATGTGAAATAATATAAACAAAACAGCCATTTTGAATTCACCAGAGCACAATTCATTCGCCGCATCGTTCCTTGGCAGGCTGTCATGCAGTTTACCAGTACTAGTTGCAAGAACAGAAAACTTCTGTGTATGCCAGAGCAGAATGGCGCAAATGACCGTAAAAGGATGTTTTGATCAATAATAGGGAAAATGGCCTTGGCCAATGGAACTCGGTTCGCCTGATTCACAGTCCAACGCTCTACCTGAGCTAACAGCACAGATACTGGTTGGAATGAACTGCAAAATATGAGATATGAAAAATGAAGAACACGGTATCATGTTCTGAGAGCTCCTGCACGACTGTTCACCTTGATTACGTTTGGTTTGTCTTAACAAGTGGCTGCTATGGATTGTCGCATTATGCTTTATATGTTTGAATATTTGTGCCTCTTTAAAATGTATCATGTAACTTTATATATATCTGGACTGTTAAAGAAAGACATTTTCTGAGAGAAAAAAAAGAAACAAAATTAAAAAAAAAACAATTAAAACAAAAAAAAAACAATAAGCAAGCAATTTTGTTTTTAATGTATGTAGCATTTACAATTTGAAATTATTTCCGGCCAGGTACAAGAGACACGGAGCAATCACAAGCGGAACCTCCCATCTGTATAGAGCAAAGATAATCACACATTGACAGTGTTGTCAGCTCTGCAGTACTCTCAGCATCGTTATGTCCTAAAATGTAATGAGTTCTATATTAATGCATCTTTTCAACAAGAAATAGTTCTTTAAAAGACTTTATATATATGTTTAATACAATTACTCAGACTAATTTTGATGGGAAATATCCTTAAGGCGGCTTTTCAACCGAACTATAATTAGAATAATCTGAGTATGCTTTTCGATATAACACATTATTGATATTACATATTATCGGATAAAAGCTTGGTTCTTCGTCTTGTAATCGTGATATAAAACAAATAAAAGTATATTGATACAAAACGGATATAGTTATCGTGATCCAAAACATACAGAGTTACATATAAACTTGGAGTCATCGAATGTACTTTTAATAAAACTAACATAATGTTTACAAATAATTTTCAATGTCGTCATGTATAGGTCCTATTTACAAAACTCTAAAAATTATCTTGCCATTAGTCGGGCAGTTACAGGCTTGTATTTGGACAGTATCAGAAGTCAGTTGGTTTTGGCATACATAATTGCAGTCAAGGCTGGTACCAATAAGATAAGACCACGCCCCTATCCAGCAATGAGCCACTATACATATTACCCATAAACTCCACATTATACTTGAGTGTGTTTTCTACAATAAAAGAAAAGAATAGCCGTTTTAATTGTATGCCCATCAATATATGAGCCTTGTCACGACAAAACGAACATAATGCGTTTGAGACCAGCATGGATCCAGTCTGATCAGGAACCATGCTGTTGCTTACCAACCCTATTACAAGTAGAGAAACCCATAGCGTCGAACAGCACCGATTTTTTTATGACTATGGATTACCCCCACTTTCTAGAAAGCAACTGTGTAGTCCTTTATGTGAGACTAGAAAACAAAATGCTGCCAACAGTTTGTCATGTGACAACCATGTGAGACTAGAAAACAAAATGCTGCCAACAGTATGTCATGCGACGGCCATGTAAGACTAGACAACAAAATGCTGCCAACAGTATGTTCATGTGACGGCCATGTAAGACTAGACAACAAAATGCTGTCAACAGTATGTCATGTGACGGCCATGTAAGACTAGACAACAAAATGCTGCCAACAGTATGTCATGTGACGGCCATGTAAGACTAGACAACAAAATGCTGCCAACAGTATGTCATGTGACAGCCATGTGAGACTAGACAACAAAATGCTGCCAACAGTATGTCATGTGACAGCCATGTGAGACTAGAAAACAAAATGCTGCCAACAGTATGTCATGTGACAGCCATGTGAGACTAGACAACAAAATGCTGCCAACAGTATGTCATGTGACAGCCATGTGAGACTAGAAAACAAAATGCTGCCAACAGTATGTTATGTGACAGCCGTGCGCGCTTATTTGTTTCTTTTAATTTGATTTACTATTAGAATTTTGTCCGGTTACTTACGGTGTTACTCATTTCGGTCATAGCTTTGCTCAGATTCGGTGTTACTCTTGCAGGATTCCTGCGTTATTTTCACGATTCCTGCATAACTGCACACGATTTTATTTGTTATTTTGTGCAAACAAGAAAAGGAGAAGTGGCCTTATTCATTCACCATAAGTTTAAGGCCGTTGACATGGACCTGTCCCCCATTGCCGTGGGTTCAAAACCTACCCTAACAGTAAAATAATTTTATGTGATGAATCTACATGACGTGTGTTTATTTTTCTTTATTTTATGACCCTCATTTTGCGCCAACGGTTAAGCTGGAAAAAACACCACATAACATGAATGTCTTTCTAAAGCACGCATGGTAAACAACAAAACTTCCTCTTTCGGAAGTATATGATAAAGAAACCGTAAATCTCAAAATGTGATAGCTCACATGCAAGAAAATCAGTGATATTGTATAAGATATCTATAATCGGAATCAAATTAATCTTGATAATACAATATATGTGATAATACAATATATATGTGTAAAATTGAATATAAGTAAGAAAACAATACCTTGCTTGTTATATAATGTATCTGTTCATTCACTGATCATTCTCTTGAATGACGTCATCATATGTAAATATGGTTCATGCACATATCTATATGAATTGTGCACCGACTAAAATAGATATAATTATTCTGATTAGCTTAGATAGCGGTCAGACTATGTTATAGAAACTAGTTGAATTAAAAGTGAGTACATATTTACAGTTGGTTAAAAGAGGAGACACAGTTACATTATCAAAGTTCATTTCGATTTAGTACCATTAAATTTCAACTCGTCGCGTCTAGTATGTCATTCAAGGATGATGCGACAGTGAGTCACACATTACATGTTTTAATAGAGTTTAAGTTCAAAGATGATCAATTTGGCACTAATAACGATATATACAACTCGTTCTATGTCAATCGGAACACCTCGACTTTTATTCATAATAACCTCGGATTTAAAACAGATTGAAAGTAGTTCTACCATGTGGTTTTAGATGTAAATAAAAAAAGAGGGTTTGCTCTTTTATTACGTATACCGACATCAAATGAAAAATGAATAACTATTGTCCGAAGTTTGGTCCGATGTAGTAATTTATGGATGGCAAAAAGTGGGTCGCATAGAAAGAATCATTTTTATACTTTTAAGTGTGTAAAAAATATGTGTCGCATAACATCATTTTCAAAGTTCAAAGGTGCCCAATTGCTGCATTGAATACTTTTGTTCTGTGAGACACGATTTTCAGACATTTATCAGCCAATTTACGTCAGTTCAAACGAATTCTACGTCAAAAGGTTTTGAAAATAGGTCATGAACTTGTAAAATAATAATTAATTCAGATGAACATGAATAAAGTTCATGTTGGGTCAAATAACCTATTGAAGTCATTGATATACATTTTGTATTTCTAAATGACCTTTGTTTTCGTGAACGTTTATATAGTCTAGATACAACGTTTATATATAGATACAATTTCAATATGCAGTTGAATTTTAATTGCTTTTGAATGTTTAAAGCAGCATGCCATAATCATGCTTATTTTCATGAAAATCATTTTTTTTTTTTTTTTTTTAATGTTGTGAAGTAAAGAAAGTAATTTACGCATTCAAACGACACTTACAATCCACGTAAACAGGGTCTTTCAAATATAATTCTATTTTTCTATTTTTTTAGAAAGACCCTGTAGAATTCTCTTTGAAAGACCATTGCGTAAATTACCAAAAAGAGTTCAAAATATGAAAAAAGCCCTTACTTTGTTAGTCACGCAGTAGAAATATGTTGATAAATACTG